ACTATACCATATAAAATAGCTACTATACAAACTGAACGACCAATATCAAGTTAATGTATGAAAACTTCTTTATATTTGAAGGGTATTATTGCTTGGGTTTTGATGTGGTCTCAGTGTATGTTTGAGTTTACAAAAGCGGTCACAGAATTCGCTTTTTTGTTTAAAAGTGACGAATTCTTAGTTTTTCGGGATTTAGGAAAAACTTATTTCTATTAATTCACCTTTCGCTTACCAAACAAAATCATGGCATAAAAGCTGCTCGGGAAATTACTTTGGTTACCAATATCATTTGATTGCTTCAACTATACCCTTTTTCTTACTTTCTCAATTCGTCACAGTATAAAAGAAAAAAATATTTTAACAAATTTCTTGCAACAGTTGCTTTGTACATTTAACTTCTGGCTGTTTCTCGAGGCAAATGTCACATGCTATGTTGCCATTGCAAAGCCTTGTTTGTTGGTTTTATGCAAGTTGCTCAAGCGCAATGCAAACATTTAATCACCACACGCTTTTACGGCACTCATTTGTGGTTAAAAAATAATAATTTCAAACGCCCAGTCCGGCAGAGCACAATAACAATAATAATAAAGACCACCTGTTACTACTCCTGATTTGTTTATGACAGAAGGTAGCATAAATGCTTATGTACCTAACTAAAGGGTAGCTAAAAGTTGCAACATGGTACGTGCGACTAGACCTACAGATTTTAATTTCCTTGATGGATTTTCGGACCAATGTTTGTTTTCTTCTAAAATATTCCTTTTTTTTCATTTACTTGTAGCAAGCAAGCGATTCGTTTATTGAGAAACTTAAGATAAATGCTTATGCAGCTGACCGCAGGTGAGCCAAAAGTTAAACAGAAATTTTTAATAAAGAAAATGCCACAAAAATTTGTTGCAAATAGCAAAAAAAAAAAACATTATTAAAAACACATTTTGCAATTTCTACAACTTTTGCACTACCAATATTCATTAAATGCACACTCGACCTAGTTTTTGTGTTGGCCAAAGGAAATGAAAATGTTTATTTGCAAAAATTGCCATAAACTTAAAATGCCTTATAAATATATATTTTTAAATATTACATATATTCAAATCGTTTTACAGGGTGCGTCATATTTACTGTTGATATGGAAAGACCACTGGATTGTGACATAATTTTTTTTTTATTTTGTTCAAATACAACATTATAAATCACCTCTATTGACAACATCAAACTTATCCTTTTTTTGTGCAGCTTGAACAATATAGCGATCAATTTTATGGAGATTGTTGACTGTTTTGACTTTCTTTTTCTAATAATCAAACCAGAATTAAGCAGAGGAAGTCAAATATGGAGTTATGTGAGAGTACTCTATATGCCAATCTCTTGGTCTGCTTACATAGTTCTGTTGCAGAAACTGAGTATAAATCAATAGCAACCCATTTCATATTCATATTAACTATTTCACGGGCAAAGTACTACGAGCAAATTTCATTCTATTTCTAAAAAATAGAGCATCGCATATTTACACATCTTGTATGTATATTTGTAGTAAATAGTTCGCAAATAAACCATTTTGCAATCATTAATTTTAAAATTTATATACAAAATTTTCTATATCTCTTTTCTTACTCATACAAGTTTTTACGGTTTCCCAAGTTTAATTTTTGTCTTTGTGGCTGACAGGAAACCGCCTAGTTGTCAAGCCCACCAACCACTCAAACGGATACATAAATTATTTCAACTATTCTACAAGTGTTTGTAGATATTTAAGAGAACTTGCCACAAGCATTATTGTTAGCTGGTAAATATTTCTACATTTATTTATCCAACAATGTGGTCTTTGTGTTTTCTGTCAAGCGCTATTTTAACTAAATTCCCCAAAAAAAACAATAGGTTTAGCAGAAAGCAAAGATTTCCTGGGTGTTTGATGTCCCTAAATGCCAAATAAACGATTTAATTAGGCATTTAATTGAGTTGAAATTTTTAAAGTAAACACAAAGTATTGCTAGTGCCACAAATTCGAAAGGGATGTCGGTGGCAATGTTTCCCACTGCTTAATTGTAAGAATGACTAATGATCTGAGTACGTTGTATAAGTTCAAAATTGCTATTTATACATAAATAAATCTAATTGTATTTAGCTACTGATTTGATGATGATTAATATATGGAGAATTAGGCTATTAGTAATTTAATCTTAATGGTTTGTTTTGCGATATTCTTAAGGCGTTGGATAAGGAAAATTTTCAAGTTGCTGAGATTTGAATTAATGTTTCGATAATTTCAAATCATATATCGGTGGTTGATGCTGTAAACTATGACAGCAGGGATTATGGTAATCGCCGAAGAAAATACCTTATCATAATTGTAACGGAATTGCACAGAAAACTTTACCACTTTTACTGAACTCATCTGAGCAGGTCCAGTAGACTTTCAAATGTAAATTAATAAGTTGTGTCACACTGTACACATTTCGTTCAGCATAAAATAGTTTTAAATTCTTTAGCATTACTTTAAGATTTAATTCATGACTAATGACGAAAAGTTTGCTATCAATGCGTTGATTTAAATAACTTTTTGAGCACATGCTGGAACTTTTCGGTTAATGTCCAAAGTTTCTGATGTCCAACTGTGTCATACAAAATCAACAAATCCCCGTTTGCTGCGCGCAAATCACTTGAAATTCCCATTTCAACTGCAAACAAAGAAAGATTCTACGTAAAAAAGTTGAAAGGAAAATTGCCCACTAACTCAATATGAATTGAGAAATATGTATTTTCGATTCTTTTATATTATTTTTGTCACACAAACACATTTTGGAAATTTCGGACCACTTGGCATACAATCATAAACGATAGCATTATGAATGTTTGCCAGCAATTTTTGTTGAATTTGGTAGTCATTTTGGTGATTTTAAGCTGGCTTATATTGTCAGAAATTCAAACGTTCAGCAAAATTTACGCAAACAGAGGAGGAGAAGAGGCGTTGATGTTATAGGGGTAGCTATTTGTAGGTATACCCCGTGAGACAATTTACTTAGGAGTAGGCAATGTACACTAGATTTTATAGCCGCCCTCGACAGCACAAAAAGGAGCAGCTTCTATACCACTAAATCTGAATTGGCATGCCCGCAACACTAATACGGCTGTGGAAACTGACGTTGAGCTCCACCAAGATCGGAAAGGATCTTCGATCTATTGCTGGAGAAAATAATAGGAGCTGCAGAGCTAAATAGAGATGGTACAATCTTTTACCGCGCCGTTAGTTTACTCTACAAGTCTCTCATCAACTGCTGAGTGGGCATAAGGAGTCTTCGAAAGAAAGGTTTTGCGGAAGATTTTTGGCTCTTTGCGTATAGGCAATAGCGAATATGTTACTGCAGTAGATGGAATGTTGAGCTGTACTTGGTATACAGTGATATTGAAAAAAATACATAGTTTTGCAAATCAAGAGACAGCGGAACGGTGGCTAGGTCATGTTGTCCGGATGGATGAGAACACTCCAGCCTTGAAAGTAATCGATTCAGTACCCGCCAGTGAAAGCAAAGGAAAAGGAAGATCTCCACTCCGTTGGAGAGATAAGGTGGAGAAGAACCTGGCTGAGAAGAAACGACTGGCGCGCTGTTGTTAACACGGCTATAACCACGTAAGTGTTGTCACGTCATGTGGCAAATATAGGCTTATAACTGATTGCTGGATTAAAATATTTTTTTCTTAACTTCTGGAAAACTATTATCTTATGAGACATTATATTTTTGTCTTTGATATTTCCTACAGGGTGTATTCGTTACACTTACTTACTTATACTTTAGCATATATATAAAATATTAAACTCCTTCGAGATGTCAATAAATGGACCTATTGAAAATTTATGAATTCAAGTATGGAAAATATTTGCGAGAATAAACACAGAGAGAGAAAGAAAGATGATAAAACCCAAAAAGAACCAATAAAATGAACCCACAGCAAAACTATCAGAAATAGTTGGCAATCAGCAGACTTTGCTGATAGTTATGACTTGGTGGGGAGACGGCGGTTAAGTTGATTAGGTTTATGTTTGGTTAGGCAAGCGAGGCGGTGAGCAATGTGTGGCTAGAAGACACTCGGCTGCAAAGTTGGATCAGTGAACGGCAAGTGTGTTGAGTTGCTCGCTTTGGCTGACTGACTGCAGTACTTCGTGACTTAATGGCCAACTAAATGACTGACTGCCTGGCTGACTTACTGGCCGACTGGCTTGTAACTTGCTGGCTGACTGGTAAACCTGTGGATTTCTTTAGCCAAATTGACAAATTCAGTTTATGCCACAAAATTTTGAATATTGTTTGGTCCCTAAATGAATGAAAAGAATGTTTTGTTCCGTCAATGCTGCTGGCATTTGCGTCAATCGATTGAAATAAGCAAGTAGAAGGCTGTTACACACACATAAAAGCTAACACAAGCAAACGCTTAACAATTTTAGGCAATCAAGCGGGACACACCCAGTAATCATTCGCAGTCATTTGACTGCCACAAGCGCCAAAAAATTTGAACTAACACACAAGTTTCCACAAAACACACGCACAGACATAAATATGTATATCTGGTACATACTCGTATATAAATAAATATATATTAAAGTATGCATTTCAATTTCACATCACTACTCGCAAAATAAATATACTATTATATATATTAATATGCATAGCGAAAATGTTGTGAGGCGGGACAACTCAAGTCGGACGAGCACCAAAGTGTACACAAAATTCCAACAACAATACATAGTTTACCAACTGCGCTACTCACGAACCGCAGCAGCAGACCGTGTGGAACAATAACCGATGCTCTGTGGGACCAATAGTTGTGGCGGCATTTGTGTGTATACTTTCGGTTTCCGGAGCGGAAACCACTGTAAACCAATTTACGAAATAACATAATTTTGCGAAAAATAAATTTTGTTTGCTGTCACAGCGAAATTCTGCAACACAACGCAACTATTTGCTGCTATGTGCGTACATGTATATATTTATATGTATATGAGGGTAAATATTTGCTGTTGCGCATGTATCGCGAACGTTCTTGCCCTTGTACGTCAACTCGTTATAGAGTTGCGGCGGTCATATCATCAACGCATAAACGCTCATTCTCGCACAAACTATGCAAAGTAGCCAAATAACTATAAAACTTTCACAAAAAATATATATTTATATAGAATATTATATAGAGTAAAAGCAACAAAGTAGCAGCGTAGGGTGCAACAAACTGCAGTGGAACATTGCTAAACTGCACGTAGCATGTAAACGGAAACTAAAACGATTGAGCTCTAGAAGAACGCTTTTATTTTATATACAGATGACTATTAAATAATGTAATAAAAGTACCACTAGTACATAACGTTTTTATAAGAGGTCACAACTAGAATTGATTCCAGATTTCCTAACATGACCTCATTAAAAAACAAGGAAAAACGTAAAATTCGGAGAAAACATTTTATCAGTTCGTTTTAGCCACCTTGTTTGCTAATAAACAATTTTCGAGTATAAATAAAGATATTTTATTAATATCCTTATCATAATTTGTTTGGTCAGCATGCATGATAGCTATATGTTATAATATACCATTTTCTCGTAAAGATATCTTCTCAAATAAAAAAGTTTCCCATACTAAGATTGGATTTTAATCGATTAATTTGTATGCCAGTTAGATCCTATAGTGCTCCATTACCGGCGTTTCCCACAAAGAAGAGGTCGTGTGCAAATTTCATATCGACATCTCTAAAACTTAAACACCAAGAACTGAGACGAGCAGACGAACATGGCTAAATCAACTCAGCTCGTCACACTGATCATTTATGTATAGGCTTTATATGGTCTCCAACGTATTTTTATGAAGGTTACAAACTTCGTGGCGATTAGTGCTTCTTAGGATTCGATTGGCCCTTTCTTCTATCTAACAATATAATGCGACTTAGAGAGAGCGTTTGAAAGTAAGTTTGAATATAAGATTAGTTTTCAACGCTGTATCAGATTGAGAGTATCGACAAATGTGTTATCACTTATTATTTTTTTAGTGCGTTGCTTGCTTCCATTTAGGATGCGTAAAATCCAGCGAAGTCGAGTTGAATATCTTAGTTACGATAAGTTTGTGGAATTATTGACAATAGTTCTTTGTAGGCGTGATACTTTAAATCTTGATAATAGTTATATAATAAAACATGGTACTAACGCCAAGCATCTAGTTGATACAAATCAGTAAAATTCAATGCAAGTAAAGCTCGAAGCTTGTTGTACCTTGCAAATTGCAAAAAGAGCGAACGATAGCGGAAATAGGTCACCAAGCAGCCGAACTGAAAGAGTATAGCATAAGCAAACTGAATTAATTGCATAGCATGCGGTGGCAAATGTGAGATGCTGGCAAAAAACTGAATAAATTGTGTACTTAATAGACAGGTTGATCTTTTTACTTTTGTTGCAGTTCGGTGCGTACAGTATCCGTGGACGATGCCGAGCCAGAAGAAGACGTACCCGTTGCGGTAGAGGCATTTGATGATGCCGTGGAATCCGAGGACGTTGAACACGCCGAGGACGCTCTGGAATCTGTTGAACGCGACGACACTGAACTCAGACAGGAGTCACGCAAACTTGCCTGCCTGTTGACACTACCGCCGACTGTTGATGTTTTCTCTGCGCCGAACGCGAAAGCTGCTTTTAAAGGCTTGGTTTGAGCCAACTGTGCGGCGATGGCATTTGCTATTGTCCTTGTTGTGGTTGACGTTGCCATTGCCGTTGTCGTTGTGGCTGTCGATGTGGCTGACATGCAATTGACAGGTACGCGTAATGCCGCTGCTGCTGTTTTTGCTATTGCATCGACTATGCCATGTTTTGTCAAGGCAACTGTCGTTGCGTTTTGTTGTCGTTGTTCGGTTTGCTTTTGCTCTAATCGTGCTTGTAAGCTGCCTGAGCTGACATCACCCGTTGATATGCATGAGTGCAGTACTGTTGCATCGTCTGTAGTACTTACTGTAGCACTTATGTCGTTAGCCATGGCTGAAGCTTTCTGAACCGCTGCTGCTGTCACAGATTCCATTGTTTGCTTGCTCATAGCTGTCACCGGTTTGTCGACGCCAGTGTTTGTCAATGCTGTTGCATCTACACCGGTCGTTATTTTAGTAGTTGTTGACGTTGTTGTTGTTGTTTTTGTTAGCGAGTTGGCTTTGGCCTTATCATCAAGTGCAATCGACTTTGATGAGTAATCGTGTGAGTCCGCTAAAGCGGGTATGATGCCTGTTCCGTTTGATTTGGTGAGTGAGAGTGTTGCTGCTGCTGTCGGTTGTTCGCTGGGCATATTCTCGTGTGATGCTGCCAAATTTGATTTCGCTTTAATTTTGGACTTATTGGGTTGGGCATAAATGTCAGTAATGCCAGCATTAATTGTTGTACCGCCTTTGTTGTTGTGACCCATTGTTGTCTTTAGACTATTGCGTACACCTACGGTTTGATGGCCTGCCAAATTCATTAATGTAGGTGTAATTAGCTTTGGTGTTATCGCATTTGCCATCCCTGCTGCTGTCATGTCATCATTTTGTGTGGCTGGCAAATTAGTCGGCTGTTGTATCGCGTAAATGCGCTCTGTGTGGTGTGTTTGTTGGTGTTTTTGCAGCAATTTGTCTTCCACTTCGACGGAAATTGGACGGCTTTCGAAGCTTTGCAACCCCGCAGCAGCACCGTTACTTAAGACTGTCACACCAGCAACACCACCAGACGTCGTGGCGTGCGGCTTGGAGCCGATTTGAGTGTTGGCCGCCGGCGTTAGTGATGCCTCCGAAAAGCTATGAATAAGTTTTGTCGCTGCTGCGCCCGTTACATCTTCCGCTCTGCTGCTTGTCAGGCTGTTAGAGGGCGCCTTGTCAGTTGTGGTAAGCTCAGCGCGCTTAAGCGTCGAGTAATTAGTATCACCGCTAGCGCCCGTTTGCATCTTCGGCTTTTGTTGCGGTACTATGGGACCCACGATAAGCGTATTTTGCGTTATTGGTGGCTCGTCTTCCTCCTCAGCTGTGCAGTCGTGTGCTAGCATTAATGGTGATGTGGTGATATTGCTGCTATTACGGCGCGCCGAAGGTTTCCGTCCGAGCGTGGAGATTGTGCGCGGTGGCGGAAGTGGTGGATAACGTGCACCCATAGTGCCACCTGCACCGAGTGTGTTGCTGAAGTGCGGCAGAAAGCTATTAGGCGGCAATGAGTTGCGTTTATTAGTGGTGCGCAAGTCCAGCGTCATGGGTGGTGAATCATTAGGGTTTGCATGAAATTCGATATTAGCATTGGTTGTTGGCAAAACTTTGGGATAATTACGACTTTTGATAACTTGTAGTTGCTGCGCTGGTGTACGACAAGCGCCTCCTATCCCACCATCATCATCATTATCGCGGCTGGTCACATTTACATCCTCACCCAGAAAACTGGTGACCTTTTCATTCTCCTCAATTTTATCACACATACTACTATAGTAGTGTTGCATATCGACAGGGTCCGAGTGTGAGTGCGCATGCTGTGGCATTGGTATATATGGCGGCAGTTGCCCCTGCTGTGGCAATTCCGCATCACATGGCTCAGTGGCGGCGGAGTGTTGGCGGGTGAGAGCATAACGTGTGCTATCCAAAGAGTTCTGCGGCGTGAGCAAATCCTGATCGGTTACCTCTACCTCCTGGCAGATAATTATATTGCGCCCATCTGACTTTAATTTGTGCACCTCTATCGGTTCTTGTTCCATTACGCTGCTGCTGCGTGCCGATTGTGTAGCATCAACAGCGACGCTCACTTTCTGCGATCCCACTGGCTGCTTGAAACTGCCGCCGGCGCTACTGCTGCGTAGTGAGGAAAATGTGGGCGACGAGGATTTTTTCGAACCACCCTTTGAGCTATCGGCCCCGCCCCCACCAACACATGCTTTTGCATCTGCAGCGGCACCGACTGCAGCAGACATCCAAGCACACACTTTGGTGTGCGTGTCGACGGTGGAGGTGCTCAGTTGTCGTGTCATTTGAAAGCCATTAATCGGCGAACGTTCCGTTTTGACTGCTTCGTAAGTGTTCGATTTGCGTACAATGTCTAAAATGTAGCTCTCGTCGCCGTCATTTTGCTTCGAACGCTTGAACTCATCGTCAGTGGTGCCTTCGTAACTGAGTATACCGCCCAGTTTTCGTTGCATTGCATGCGCTTTCTTCTTCCTCTGCAGCAGGAATGTCGAGTAAATGATGACATTAAGGACAATAAAGACGGCAATCAGCCCGATGAGTAGTTTTATTGTCGTCTCTGATTTGGCAACTTCCTCTTTGTTACCAGTGCTGGGCTCGTCACCAACGACAGTACTGCTACCCGCATTATTACCTGTGGCACCACCACCGCCATCGCTGCCTCTACCACCAACACCATTGTCATACTCCGCAATTTCCGCTCTTGGCACACCATAAATTGCACTGCTGCCAGCCAACGTTGCGCCAGTGCCAACACCAATTTCGCTAAAACCACCCAAGTCATTTATTCCAGCCACAATTCCCCCTCTATCGATGCCAGCTAGCCCACCCATTATACCATTTGCGGTCATCGTATAGATTTGTTCGTCGTTCGCTTGTCTTGTTACGCCAAATGTCGGTGGCGCATTGTACATATTCTCGGCAAAGGTATCGCCTGCCGCATTCGCATCACTTGTGCTGCCGCCAGGCTCTTTGTTACCACCTAATTTCCATGGCGCCTGTAGTAATAGTTTCAATGTGCGTACTGGATCCTCGGCACCATTATCGCGGGTGCCAAATTGACTCATGTGCCCGGTTATTACTTCGCCACCACCATGCCGCTGCACCGGATACATATGCTGTGTTGCAGCTGTGGCACTACTCGTAGCAAAGTTACTATCGGCACCGTTGTACAGGGTTGTATGCAAATACGGCTGCCGTTGTATGTTTGCAATTTGGTTCAGTTCATCGGGCAACTCTTTGTTCCAGAAATTCATATAGATTTGTCGGTACTTGTAGCCAATTGTTGGTGGTATGCCTGCGAATATATAATGAAGAAATTTGTCAATGCTGCTATGTATTTTTGTATGTATGTGTATAAGGGTGGTATGGAGTAGAAACGAGTTGATTCAATGCGTTGTGTTGCATTGACTTAAGTGTGTAAATGGCTCTTCATTTTGAAGAGCTGTTGCATTCGAGCACAGTTTGGAACGTAAATGTACTATTGCCTACCTTACATGGGGTATTCCACATCCGCATGTTCTTATTGTTTTCTTTCTGTTCAAACTGCGCATTACTTTGGGGAAGATACTGGGGATTATAGGCAGCTAAATAGTATTTTAAAATGATACGCTTAAACCTATATCATTGTTATCGATTAATATATCCGATTCAAAGCTGTTTCTTTTTTCATCTTACTATTACTATTACTTCGTAATAGCAGCTGTTAAGTGGGGAATTTTTTGAATTTAATGAGAAAATTTTCCATAGTAATATATTTTTTTTCTATATGATCATAAAGAAGAGGTTTCGAAAAACATAAAGTCTGCACATTTAAAAAAAAAACGGACCCTAAAAATGTTGGAATAAAAATTTTGAGTTTTCCCGCTGTTAAGTCAAACTAAGAACCTTTTCACTGCCTACAACTCCTGTTTCTATAGGACTCGTAGTTTTGCCGAAAATCAAGATAAATCTATTTTGACCCTTAAAAATTAAATCGCGCTTTCATCTTTCCAACCTCAGGTCGGCCGTAATATACTTTTTCTTTAATTTTTTGTTATTCTAGCATTTGTTTCTAAAGGCTTTCGTCCTATAATAATGTTTTTTTTTTGCTTTAAAAAATTATCCATCCCGGTATATTTTCCCATTAGTGAATTTTGTATAGGTATAGCTTAAATTCATTTATATAATAAAAGATGTTGAGATTAAAAAAGATTTTCACTTGTTTTTGTTCTAATTTTTTTTTTAATGCCCTTTAAGTAAAGTTCGTTGTTGTAAATAGCTTTTTTTATTTTTGATGTGATTTTTATGTAATCACAGATGTCAAATTTGGACAGGATGCTATCTATCTCAATACTATTTATTAGCGATTGATTTGGAAAATATTTTATCTCCTTAGAGGCTTTTGCGTTATTTGAATTCAAAGTAACCTGTGAAAGCGAAGATATAACGATTGTAAAGTAATCAAAATCGGATTTTTTGTTTTTTTAAATTGAATACAATTTATTTTTCTTCCCATTGTATCTTCGCTCAATTTTGTCTTAATATTGACACTCGTATCTTGTAAATCACATATTTTTAAAATTTTTTTTTTGATATGTGGTGTGTTTTCATCAACGTTAAAGAGTTGGTCAACTCAATATAAACTATATATTTTTTTATAAAATGATGAAATTATTTCTTTATGAAAAAAGCAAGCAGATATACTTAATTTTTTAGCTGTTGCGTACGTGTATTTTGCATGGAATGCCCCGCTGTCATCCTTTGCCAACACACACCAGCATACAAAATCAACATAAGCATGTACGAGTATGCGTATTCGCCTGTGCGCAACGCTTCGAACGAAAATCAAATTGAATTAAACGGCTACCAATTAGTGGAATACTTTCGCTCGTTAGGGCGCACCAACATAAGGTCGCACATTCTCTTACATACAAGTATATATATTTATTATTTTAATGGGTTGATGGTTGCAGAAGCGGCTGAGAGCCTATAGAGTCTAAATGAGATAAAGTGTGTACACTCACGAGTTCATAAATATACATTTATATTTGTACAAACGTCTGCACCGGCATATCCTAGACGAAGGCTAGAGCTCATCGTCCTTTTTAGGCTTTTATAAATCTTTATTAATTTAATGGCCTATTACGGCTTATATTATATAAATGCCACGATTTACAGACGAGTTGTGCCCCATGCTGCCGAAACGCTTTTGGTATTTTATTGAGTGCATATTAATCTCATATTGCTTTTCCTCATTATAACAATTTATTTAGCAGCTAAGTTGGCTATTCGAAACAAAAACAAATACAACTAACAATTTAGTAATTTTACAGTTCACAGGTTATATTAATGAGATTCTGTTGTTTCTAATTAAATACTATGAAAGCATTGCGGCAACGTGGAGCCTATTATGACAAAGGAGTAAAATATGTATTTACAGTTGTTACGTCTACATGTATAGCGGTATGGCGTCGACAGTCCAATAATCAGTCAAATATATTACAAACGCATTATTATTTTTTTTTTGCTCGGATTATAGTTAATAGCAATTAATAATTAAATAAGTAAGCAGTGAATTTTGCTTTATCAGACTAGTTATAAAGGACTATTCACCAGCTGATGCTATAATTTATTTCTGAGTGTAATGCTTATCGCTATTAAACCGTGATTTGGATTTTATAGCCCTGAATATAAAGCTTTAGTATTTATACCTATGCTGCTTGGCTTTAAGGGATGTAAGATAGTTTGAGATATTTATAAAAATATTTTTAGGTACATTCGTGATAGATTCGATATACATATTCTCATGAAAGTGGGTGTATTTTCTGACGCTTCGACAGCAACAACATGCACTATGCGTGTCTGCGGCTAGGCTTCCGCCAAGTAATCACATTTCAGTCGAGATTCGTAAAAGGTTCTAAGATATGATATATACAAGAAGATCGTAAGTTTATATTTGGTTATGTTGAGTCTTGAGGTAATACTACAGAATGTCTTCCATTGCAGATGCGAGGTCACAACATTCGAATGCAACTGTATCAAGATTTGTGGTCAGTAATTTATGTGGAAACTAGGACTGTAGCACACTTTTATACCCTGAACAGAGTTTGTAACACCTAGAAGGAAACATCGGAGCCTCCATAAATTATATTTATACAAATGATCGCCATGATGAGATGAGTCGATTCACCCAAATCCGTTTGTCTGCATATACGCAAATTAGTCTCTCAGTTTTTGAGATACAAAACTGGAATTTTACACCCCTTCTTCCTTCCGTTTCTCCACACGAAGCTGCTCATTTGTCGGAACCGCCGTTATCGGACCGCTATAGCATATAGCTGCCATATAAACTGAACGATCAAAATTAAGTTCTTGTACTTAAAGACTTTTTTTTTGTGAAAGTTATTATAAATTCGGTTCAACCGAAGTTAACGCGTTTTCTTGTTCCATACTTATTTCAAATAACATATACGTTTTTCTTGTTACCATATATTAAATATGAGGAATTTCTGATAAAAATATTCAAGCTCAGTTTCAGAACTGCCAACGCATTCGACGACCTCTCCCCTACACATAATCAAAGGTTTACATATATGTATGTAGTATTATCAACTCACCAATATTCATATATGATTGCGTACGTTTATTAAATTCCGGCCAATCGAGATCATATCTATCCCATTCCAATGCATGTAAATTGATGAAACTACCCTTCCAAGGTGCTTTCGGATTTCTGTTGATAGTACAAAAAAACAAAATAAAATAAAGGCTGAAATACTCATATAAAGCTGTATAAACAATTATTTGATGATGTGCAATCTTGGCTAAGCAATCAACTTTAAAGGTCATGAAAATTCACTTTCTACTTGCAGGACCACCCAGAGAATACATATAATATTTAAACGAACATTTGCGAAATAAAATTGAAATTCATTCCGGCTTGTGTAGAAATATACAAAAGTATAAAACTTTATTTCTTTTGCCAGCAGTCGTCACTACTACATATATACGTGCATACACTGACACACACATCCACTGAACAAAGTCACATGGATATGCAGAGTAAGCTTTCTGCAATGCAGTTTTGCACATATTTGCAGTAAAAATTGAATTTGAGTGCACTTTCTAGCTTCTCTTACGTAAAATCCATTAAATAAAATGGCCTGAAGAAAGCATTTGCGCTTCTATTTTACAGCAACACAACTGCAATTTTGCAAAGTCACAGCAGGACTTAGTTAAAATGGTATAATTGGATTGTGAAAATAAAATTTTCATAAGTATTTATAGATATAAAAATAACAAAACCTTTTTCGTAAACAATTTTTAAAGTGTTTCGAAAAAAAAAAATTAATATGTTAATTATTTAAAAAGATTTGAGGTTTTAACAGCTGCATGATAATAATTATTTAACAATAATACTATAATCAGCATAGTCAATGTTATTAGTTTTCAGATAGTACAATAATCTATATTCATGCTTTTGATATTTTGTTGCAAATTGCTGCAGAATTCACAACAAAACAGCTACTCATTTCATAAATGCACATAAAAAAAATTAATTGCCATGTATACCCTGTTTTCGCGAAATTAGTCCAGTACGTCATTACTGCTTCGGAAAGCAGCTTTTCCTGCGCGCCATACGAATTGCTAGGAAAGGGACCAGCTGGTGCAAGTGGAGCACCGAAAATGAAGGCTAACTCTTCACCCGTAATGCTATGTGGCAACTGCAAATAAAAAAGAGTAAAATTAAAGCAAAAATATGTGGCAACTGCAAATAAAAAGAGTAAAATTAAAGCAAAAATAAAAGAAAAAAATTATAGCTAATTAATCATATAATAAGTACTAAATAAGAAGTTTTTTTTATTAGAGATTAATTAATAATCACTTTTTGAAATTAATAAAATATACTTTCAGTTCTTTTTTTTTTTTTTAATAAAGTTAAATTAGCCGAAGTAGTCGTACTTGATACACCATTTTGCATGCTTTATATGTATTTCATATTTTGCGGCTTTAATTTTACCTTTGGAATTTTCGGCTATTACTACTAAAATTTTCCAAGCTTCACGTTTCACTTTTTTCTTTGAGAAATTGCTTTATCATTCCTAATTTGAGCACCCTGATTTCAGTTTGAAAAAATAACTTTGGCGCACTGATAGATTGTACCGATTTTTGGGAATTTGGCTACAGCATTGCCTCTGAGCGCTTGCGAATTACTTTTGAAACGCAAAGAAAGATTTTCACTGAGTAAAACTGAATATATAGTAGACTGTAGGTTTATATTACTCGACGTTTGATTTGTATTAAAACCTTAAAACTTTCCACATAATGTTTCGCATATTTTCGGTAAAGAGCCTGAGAATGGCGTTAGTATGCGCGAAAAAGGGGCGCACAATCCTAAACACGACTTCAAAAATAAATTATATAACTAACGAGCTGATAATATATCACAATATAAGATATGCAATTATCATAAAACCACGAACAAACTCAATAATTTCATGAATAAACTCGAAATCTGTGCACATAAAGGATGAGAATTTGCTAAAATCTCCAAAGCAACAAGAAAAAAAAAAGTTTTTTTTAGAGCTGTGTTATAATATTCGGTATTATGGGACTAGAAAAGTATATATATAGTACGATTTCGATTATGCAACGATAAGATAAAAGGCTAAACGACTATACATGCCATAAGAATATGAAACAAAACATTAGTAGTTTGTAAGATATAAACACTTAATATAGATATACGAGAATTACTTTAAAGTATTTTAAACAGATATATAGGTATTACCATCTCTACCAAACTACAAGTAAAGTACCATTTTGGTATGCATAAAGTTAGAAAGGCTATTTATTTCGAATGAGGCAACTTTCCAAGAGCTTAAACGATATTAATTCTGCAAAGAGGATTTTTAAACAATTTGCAAGCTTCCATGTTTCTAACACTTAGATTTCATATAATTTTCCTAATAGTTGGCTCCCATAAAAAATGTTATGATGATGATATGTGATGATTAGATATGTAGTGTAGAGATAACAAGCTAAGACAAAGAAAGAAGGTGATTAATAAGTAGAATCATAGCCAGCAAAAATTTAGACATTTTTACAAACGTATTTGGGAATATAATTTGATATCAGCAAAATTACAAACCTTCAATTACTAATACTAACGTTTTTTCTTTTGATTAACAAATTTTTTTGTTTTTTCTTTTCTAAAATATGTGCTACTATTGTAAATTAACTGTTAAATACCACGTAAGCAAATTTTAATAAACCAAACTAAATTTCTAAAATAAATTCATTACTAAATACCAAGAAAGAAAATTTTATTGAATTTCTCAAAAATTCTAATTGAATTAAATATATGCGACGGTATTTTCAAAGTTGAAAACATTAATTAAATAAAAGGGCAAATTCGAAATTAAAATATTCAAAAACACAGCCAGCGCAGAAATAAAAGCGCAGCTAAATATTTTATACAAAATATATAAACAGAACACATTCCCATGTGGTTTAGTGAAAAATTATTTCCTCTCAATTTTTCAAATCAATTTACTACCGGAAATTGCATAGAAATATTCAAATTGCTGTGTTGTGTGCACGGCAGACAAATGTTTTCCGTTTTATTTTAATTAGATTTAAAGACGATATGAATTTATTTTTTTTAATATTTTATTTCTTTTCTAATTCACACTCACCGCAATTGCGTAGGTTTATTTGCCACATAATATTCATGACAAATTATTTAGTGATCTAGGTATGTATCAATGCAAGAATGCTGATTGTGTATCAATTGCATTCCCGTTAAATGTGTATAAAATTGTATCAGGTTTCTATTAAAATCGTGCAAAAATTCTCTATAAAATTTGTTGGTAATTGTCAAACACAAATGTGCATAAATTTGTAACAATGCTTTCGTTTGTTCACTAAAATTAGTTTATTTGTTACTTGGTGGTAGAAAACGAAGAATTTGTGAAATTTTTATGAAATTCTTTATTATATAAAATATTTAATAATAATATCTGCATATGTAGTGCAGGGTGAATGTGATGGTAACTGTTAAGCTTATTTTGCTGCAGAATTACATAACTTTAAATAGACATGTGTTGGAGAAATATAAAATAATAAATTAACACTAACACATAGTTCTTCATTTAGCCAATTCATAAATTTTTCTTATTGTGTGTTTAAGATTTCTTTCACAAAATCTTAAATATTTCAAGATATTTATTTATTTTTTTGTCGTTTTGCTTAATCACACATTTTGTTTTTATATTTCGCTCGTACATTGAACTAAAAACTTTTGGTAAATAAATACAGTAAAGTGAAGATGTTTTACCTCAAGAGTAGAGACACCACAGCAACAATAGTTTTTTCGCTGTGTTTTCCATTACCTGTTGGAGCATAACATCACCTGCTCCCATTTAAGCGCAATTAAAGAGGTTATGGCAAGTTAAGTATATAAATTTTGGTAGCCAGTATATTTCACTTCATTTTGAAATCTCAATTTAATCCGAGTTTATTTTTCTTTTTCATAAACTGAATAGTTTATTCGAAAGTTAACAAAACGGACCTCTCATTGAAACAACTAACTGCAAATATCTCTTTCACGAAATTGCGGGCAGACATAGTGAGTGAACATCCATTGATATTGATATCCAATGACCAATGTACCAATGTAGCCCAACGATAGTTTAAGAATTTAATTGAATTTAGATAATTAATTTATTTTCAACCAACTCCATCTATTAAGAAAAAATTAAGGTTATTAAAATACCATTTCATACTAATATAAATTTAGACGCACTCTATATGTTTCATAAATGTGTATTAAATATAATTTTGTATACCAAATTGACGTGGAAAATGTTCTGCATTTACTACTCTCATTCCTTGATATGCGTTGTAGCTGCTGTTCAATACAAATCAAAAGTGTAGCAAAGTTTTGCAAGTTTTGGCTTAATATCTGTTTGCAACATAATATTTTCATTTACTTTATTTTGCACTTTGCTAATTTTTGTTTGAGTAAGTTAAGTTGCTAAATTGTAGCGAGCAGGGAGCAACAGCATTTACAAAAATAACGAGAGAGTATATATTATATTAGGATGGGCTAAACAAAATTTTTTTCTTACAGTGAAAATTAATCCGAAAGAAGAAAATAAAAATGCTGGCAACGTTTGAGCTATTAAAATTAATGTTACCACATTGTGATTTTTGATTTCCCAAATAAATAAAGTAGGAATATTTTTAAAATTTATTTGGATTTGTTTTACAAAATAATGTCTCAGATTAAAAAAATTATCTTCATACACTGAACAGGTTATATTAAGTTTGTCACGAAATGAGTAAAACCCAGAAGGAAACGTCGCAGACATTATAAAATTTAAATATAAACGATCAGATGAGCTGAGTCGATTTAGATTCTCAGTTTTTGAAATATCGCTCTGATCTGCACATCTCATTTGCTCGCAAAGAAGCTGATCATTTATATAATTTATCGGTACCACCGACATTGAACCACTTAAGGATATAGCTGTAATTCAAACTGAATGATCACATCCATGTACTTGTATCGAAAACTTTCTCATTTGACGAGATAACTTCATAAAATTTGGCACATGAAATTCGGATCGAGTCACTATAGCATATGCCTGCCATACAAATATTTTGTATTTTTGAAGAGTATGTATATATAGTGTTATATAATTTATATATAGATATAGTGCTTTTTTTTTGGCCACCCTGGTATATATGTATCTATGTATAAGCAAATCGACATGTATGAATATGTGTTTGTGAGAAAGCAAAATAGTAGTCAACAAATAGAAACTATTCACTGAAAAATTAATCTGTTAGAAAAATATTAGGTTATTGAAGAAAATCCAAATATTTTTTTTTAATTAGCAATTAAATAACTTGTCGTATCTTTAACAATTAGTGATTAACAACCTTTCAGAAGCACCGCAAAAAATTATTGGACAACAACTTCGGGTTATATATTTAAATAATGAACCTTGTCAGTCAACACGATAAAAATTTTATTGAAATCCAGCAAAGCTTAGTTAGTGATTGCCAGCCTATAGGATATATTTAACGAATTTAATATATAGGCATACATTTGGTAATATCGATATTTAAGGTTTTCATAATTATCTTTGTTAAAATTTTGTTTTCTTATGACATAACGTCTAAACATTCATTTTCAGCATATTTCACAAGGTTTCATAGCGCTTTGTAGTAATTTATTGCCAATTTAATACAAATGGTTTAATTAGTTAACTGCCGATATTAATACGCTGTCTGTTTCAATTTTGTCTTAATATTTGTGTAGAGAAAATATAAATGTACAATATGAAAACCAAGATAATATTTAAAATATTTCTATTTTGTCAATTCTTGATTTTGCACTCAAAACTGGTCTACATAATCTGTGGACTATTTTATTATTGAAATCGGTTTTCATTTTTATGAGACTGGCACACTTTTTTTAAATATGCATCTAATAATAAAAGTTCTTTGAAAAGAATATATGTTTACACACAGTTGGGTATGAAATTCACTCACTCACTCAATTCAATTCAAAATTATATAATATATGCCGGTAAGCTATAAGAATTATCTCTTGCAACGTGGAAATAAGTACTAATAACTAAGATTTTCTTTGGGTAAACGAAAAAAGTGCATGTGCAGAGAAAGTTGGAATATATCTAGATATAATATTTAA